ATCTTGTTATGTTCAATGCTCCACGCACACTGGGTGAAATGCACAAAGAACATAAACCTGACATAGATCTCTTTTATTATATTCCTCCGTTTTGAGTCTTGATTTGCAGGCTTTTGTCCTATGTGGCATCCTAACGTGAATTATGCTGAGGCTATCACATGCATCTTAGAACCCCTGTGGCATGGCCTGAAAAAAGTGTTGCCTTCACCTCTTGGCATAGGTTTTGCAAAGTGATCCTTTTAAGTATTATAGTCTGTTCTCTTTTGGAATCCTAAATTATTCCCAAACCAGGCAAACTAGCAACATAAAATAAAAACAGCAGCACTTACATTCCAGCCCTAATATAACTGATCTCAAATGATCAGAAAAGCACATGCTGGGATGTCATACAAGGAAAGATTAACAAGAGCACAGGGTGGAACCACAGTAGAAAGGGGAGAAAGGTAAAACTTAATCAGTTATATGCTAACTACTCCTTCTTGTCATAACTATTTGCAAGATGGGGAACACAGCTCTAAAGATGCCAGATTTTGCAAACGGAGACTTTGCATATTCCATTAACGTAATATACTTAACATGGGGCTATGAGATTACCAAGGATCCAGGTTTTCCATTTCCCACAGAAAAATGGAGTAAACTGTGGATGTTACCTTTTACCGGAGGCAAATGCGGATTTCTCATTTTACCAGAGAAACCCAAGAATGTTGCAGTTTTGCGATGACCCCTCTGCAAGCTGGAGGAAGTGGGAAGAGGGCAGTCAGGCAGGGGGCACAGGAAGCTGTCTGCTGCTGCGAGCTCTGCACTGCCTGTATCTCCTGTATACATCCCGGTGCTGCCGTCCCTGCTGCAGCCGTGCAGACAGGGGACGCTTCGCCAGGCAGCTTCCTGTGCTGCTCCTCTGTTCCCTGCAGTGCTGGGTCACACACGCTGGGCTGTGGAGGCCCTAGGGAGGGCAGTAGGATGGGAGGCTGCAGCAGGTAGCGCACAGACCCCACACACAGATGTGGGGAGCATAGGTCCCCCTGGTCCCTGGGAGTGCGTGCTGCAGCGGAGAGCAGACCCCCCCCTCCCACCTGAGCCTGCAGTGGGCAGGCAGCAATGGAGGGAGCTGGGCTCCACTTCACAGCAGCAGCTGCCTCCTGCCAGAGGTGGGAGGCTGCAGACCCAGGTCCCTGGCCTCACAGCCCTGCCAGCTGGGAGCCCCCTCCAGCAGGGCTGGGGGGTTGTTGTGGGGGAGTGAGGGGTATCAGGAGGGCCAGGGGAGGTATAGGAGGGGGGAGAGTGAGGGGCAGGAGCAGGGCTAGGTGGCTGTGGGAGGGGGGAAGTGAGGAGCACCAGCAGAGCTAGGAGGCTGAGGGGAGGGAGTGATGGGCACCAACAGGGCAGTGGGGGCTTTCATTTTAATTATGGATTTTTGGGGTTTTTATCAGAGAATTTGCGATATTTTTTATCAGGGGAAACCAGGATCCCTAGAGATCACATACAAGGTCAGAGTCATGTCATATAGAAGAAAGCACCCTTTCATCCCTCCTAAATTTGCACTTCCTAACTTCACTGTTTGTTATTCTGTTATGAGACAGTAAAAACAAAATTGGCTCCTGGATCCATCTTTTCTAAATCATTTGTTATTTGTCATGTCCCCTTCATTATTCACCTATTCCCATCTGTTTACTCTCTCATCCTAAAAAAGTTTCCTGAGGCCCCTAATCATTTACTTTACTATTTTCTTCATGGAAGAAATTGAACTCAGTTCATATTCCGGGTGCCAGCCACAGGTAGAGTTGCTAGACAGGAAGTACACCCATCTCTAGGGGGGGAAGTACACCTCACCTCAGTCAACCGCAAGGTCAATAGAGAAGTCTCACAGATGCTCCTATCAGGCACAACAGGCCCTGCCCCCTCAGCCAGAAGCCCCTGCCTAGCAGAGACTTCTAGCTGGGACCGTGGGGCTGCTCATGCTTGCACTGGAGCGGGAAATTCAGGTAAGAGTGGACGGCAGGGCAGGGGAGGATCACAGCCAATTGCTCCAGTCCTTGAGGCTAGGACGGCTCCTGGTGAGTCCTACAGTCCGGTCATGCAGCCAGGAGCAAGCAGGTGCGTGGGAGCCAGCAACAGCCAAGATCCTTTCGCCCAGACAGGTGAGCATGTGGTGCGCGGGGTCAGGGCTGTGCTCGCTGGTCCCCGCCTGTACCGTAGGGCTGGAAGCGAGTGTGCAGCAGCCAGCGCCAGTGTTCCGGGGCCAGCTCCGGTGGGGCCCAGCACAGGGTGGCTCCCCTTTCTTCCTGCTGGCACAGCCCAGCCTGACTCCATAGTGCCCTGTCAGCCATGCCCTGCACTCTTGCCACCCTGCTCTGGGCCTCACTAGTGCTGGCCCCAGGGCACCGCCCAGCTGTTAGTGGCTCCTGTACGCTCATTTGCTCCCAGCGCCATGCCCACACCCCCCACCCATACCGCGGTACAGGCAGGGACCAGCACACGCACCCCTGGCCCCACGTGCCCTGCAGCAGTGGGAGGCCCAAATATAAGATAACCCCTCAATAATTAGATTCTATACATGGAAAATTATAACAAAATTATCATTTTCCATGTATAGAATCTAATGTTTCAGAAATCATCTTAAACTCAAAGTCACTGTGGATTCAGGTAAATAATGCCAATCAACAAGGTTTTATGAAAACCTTGTTAAACTAACTTGATATCTTTTTATGAAATTACATGTTGTGGATAAAAGGTAACAGTGTTGGTAATCCACTTATATTTTTCTAGGCATGTGACTTGGTGCTGTTAAATAGTTTGATTGATCAACCAGGATAAAAAAAACAGCATGGCACACGATAAATGGATTAAAAAACTAACTCACTGATAAGTCTCATGTATTCATAACTGGGGAATCATTATCAACCAAGTGAGATTCTGGTGGCGTCCCATCATGATCCATTTTTGTCCCTACTGCTGTTCAATATTTTTACTGCTGTCCTGCAGGAAAACACAGAATCACTGTAAAGATGAAGGTGACAAAGACTGGGGAACTGGCAAATATTTAAGAGGATATATCATTGATAGGTAGCAATCTGAATCATTTGGAAAGCTGGGACAAGCATTAATGTATATTTCGATACACCAAGTAAAAGTTACACATCTAGGAATAAAGAATACAAGCCATGACTATATGATGTTAGAACCTATCCTGGGAAGCAGAGACTGAAAAAGATGTGGGGTTCATTACAGGAAACTAGGTGAATGCGAGCTGCCTGTACAACACAATGATATACAGAGGGAACATACTTCTTAGAAGTATAACATGGGAACAGTGAGGAGTGTTAGAGAAGGGTTATTACCACTGTATTTACTGGTGGTAAAATTGCTACTCTAAATGTGCATCTAGCACTCAACATGTATGCTGAAAAATTAAAGAGGGATACTGAGAAAAGCCACTGAAATAATTACAGGAACAGAAAATGGGAGACCTAAGGGCTAAGTACAGTCAGTCAAAAAGCCAGAGGCTGAATCAATTCACACTTCACTGGTTAGTCTAAATTGTGCAGATAGAAGCAATAAGCAAGTGAACAGACATTCACTTTTGATTCCGCAGTGGCCAAGGCCAGAAGTCGGGGGGCACTACAGCATGCCTCCCTGCTCAGCAGTAGACAGCTTGGACCAAGGTTAGCCCACCCACCCTGCAAGGGGAAGATGCAATGTATCCTGGGATGCTGGGGGACTGTGAGTGAACTTGAATCTGGAGGGGATCTGGGACAGAAGTTCAATAAACCAATTTAACCTGAATATGTTAAGTCTGATACTACATCCATCCAGGTTAATTTTAAATTGGTTTCAGTCATTCTGAAAGTGATTTATGTGCACTGAACTTCTGCTGGGTTACAGATTTGAACCAGGTTCCTATCACATACCAGTTAACGTGTAATTTGTGTCCCTAGCCAAGGAGCTCAATCTATTTTGCTAATCGTTGGGAATGTTAAGGGATGATGTTATTGCATCATAAAACATCAGTTTTCAACCTTTTACTCCTAAGGCTCAATCTATTAAATGGAGAGTCAATTATTCACACTATCTGGGATTAAAACATGCTCATAAGAATCAAAGTGTTTGGTTAATGAAACACATACTAAATGAACATTTATAAGCAGAATATCTGCAATACATATGCAATTTTTGTTTTGATTATTTAAATTTTTTCCTCAGCCATAAGTTGTCTCTCTTTTCCCTGGCACTACATAGGTGAGCAGCATATCCTGTGTTTGAATACTTGGTGTTAGGATAATTTACATTCTACTGTATTTTTATGATATCCTATGATAAAGGGGCACAATCCTTTCAATCTCTCTTCATCTGAGAGTGCTTTCAGGCCTCTAATTTTCTTTCTTAACCTCCTTGCATCCCTAAACTGCAATACCCTTCTGAGATGGGGTGATGAATAATACACACAGTTTGCATATGTGGCTACATCATCAAATTTTATACTGACATAATAATATACAAAGGCATTAGCAGTTCAAGCTGCCCCGTCAATATATATACTGAGTTCTTAGTTTTTCGTACATACTAATGCTTTCCCTGCAGTATTACTGCTATGGTTCGTCAAGTTAGGACCTAAACATCTCAACAGTCAACCTAAATGAGGCTAATCTTGAGACACATTGGCATGAAAAATGCAGGAGTAACTGAAAACAATTCTGCGCCCTGCAAAGCTACCGCTGGGTTCACAACGGTCTATCCCAGCGAGGCCGCAATTATGCTACACTGACATCACTCTCATCCACTGACGGCATTATGAGCTGGCAGCGGGTGACGTCACAGACATGAGGTGTTCGGGCGCGACGATGACATCGCCGCCCAGTACCGTCCCGTGGGAACTCGTCACGATACCAGTCAGGACGGGAGGGCACCCGACCTTCGTAGCTCGCGAGCAGGTTCGGGCGGGGCAAGGCAAGGCACCCCCCACGCGACACCTGCGCTCCCCGCGCCCCGACCGTGGCTCTGACCTCCTCGGTGGGACGTGTCCATCCGCTCCTCTCTCCCGCGCGCCCCGCAGGTCAAACAACAGGGTAGGGCCAATTTCGAACCCACGCGCATGCGCATCTCCACGCCGAGCCCTGTGCGCATGCGCAGAGCCAGGACGGAATCCCACAACCCTCAGCTAGGCCCGTTTCCACCCTCGGGTCTTGCGGCCCGTACGACGGCGTGCGCATGCGCAAAAGTCTCCCGCGGGCAGCGGCAGTTGTGCCAGTTGCGGAGCGGCCCGCTGGTACCGCAGTTGCCATGGTAACGGCTGCTCGGGGCAGGGCCACGGGCCGCGCGGAGCCCACGGGCTTGTGTGGGGGAGGGCTGGCCCTGCCAGCGCGGGGAGTAAGTCGTAGAGCAGCGCTTCCCAGACTTCCTCCGCACGCCCCATTCATGGGCCCGTTTCCTCAGCTCGGCCCCAACCACCCTCTTACCTGCTGCGGTTGCCACCCCGTTCGGGAGCCGCTGTCCTCAAGCCCGTCCCCACTGCCACCACAAGCAGCAGCAGCTGGAGCGAGGTCTGCGCTCCTGAGGGGGGAGCGAGGGAGGTGCGAGGTAGGGACTCGCGAGACAGCGAGCAGCCTGTACTGGTCTTTGTTGTCCGAGGAGAAACTCCCCAGTGACTAAATCCTGGTTGTTCACGGGCCACTTTTCTCCCGGAGTCGCCTTTTTAAGTAGGAGAAACAAGCCCGAACTCTGCAGGCTTCTGGTTTCCCCGGGGAGAGCAGCGATTCTCCCAGGAAACAATGTCTCAGGGACATCCCTCGTCCCACCTGCTTTCTTTCCAACCTGGACTTACTCTTTTGTTCACTACCCCAGGAAGACACAGCTGTGGTGTTAAACTGAAGGAAGTGCAGCTCCTGGCTTATGGCTTGTGCTAATCACCTGTGACCAATAAAAAAATGCTAGGAGCCATCTTATGAATAACAGATGTTCTTTCATCTTTGAATGAGCAGCAGATGTGACCCAGAGGGTGGAGTGGACTGTTTTAGGACAGCACCCACAACCTGCAAGTGAATATCCAGATCTAAGCAGAAATGAAAATGCTACAGCCCAGCAACACATTCAACTTAAAGCTGGACATAAACCAGCTGTTACACACTTTCAAGCACTAACTTTGTAACTGGTTGGTTCTTTTTATAGCTGGATATATGTTTTTATGGTGTTATTACTTTGAATGCGTGGCCAGTCTAAATTCATATATGTAACACGTTAGGAGCCATGTGTGTTACATATATTAATTACCTAATATTAATAAGGCACGTGACTGAATTTGGCCTCCTTTTTTTGAGGCTCTCAGCCACTGGAAGCCAACTACTTTTCAAGGCTTCAGCCTGCTGCAGTAGCTTCAGAGTTTCCTCAGTGCTCTGAATGTAACATTGGACATTCTTGTAAGACTGGCCAGCAAGGGAAATCACATTGCACAACTGGGTTTCATTGCAACACGTCAACTGAAGACGTACACAGGAACAAAAATCAGCAAAAAAGGTAAAGCCCACCTCTAAACAAAGAAACACTAATTAACTTTTAAAAGAATCTCTATTTCTTTGGATTTACCATTTATGGGGAGACATTGTAGTAGCAACATTCTAAATGACTTTCATTTATGTACATATCCAGCGACTGCTAGGACAGTGACTGCACCATATGTTTAAAATGTAAGAGACAGTTCACAAACTGCTATGCTGCAGTCAGAGCAGTTGGATTAAGAGGAATATTCTGATAAACACACAAAAATACTGGAGGAGATACTCTTATACAATGTATAATTGTCTCGCATTATACATACTGAAAAAACTAAACCAGCCCAAACAAAACTTTCTAAATATTACACAAGCATCTTGGATTTTTCACTTGTTCTCCCTCCTTCAGGTTAAATAGAAAAAATAGCTGCTAGCCTTGTTACCATGTTTAGTTCATAGTTTCTAGGGTCGGAAGGGACCTGAGTAGATCATCTAGTCCAACCCCCTGCCATGGCAGGAAAGGTGTTCATCTAACCTCCTCTTAAAGACCCCCAGGGTAGGAGCCAGCACCACTTCTCTTGGAAGCTGGTTCCAGATCCTAGCCGCCCTGACTGTGAAGTAGTGCCTCATGATATCTAGCCTAAATCTTCCCTCTACCAGCTTGTGACTGTTATTCCTGGTCACTCCTGGCAGTGCTCGGGGGAACAGGGACTTCCCCAGTGCCTGCTGATCCCCCCTGACTAGTTTGTAACAGGCCACTAGATCCCCCCTCAGCCTTCTCTTGTGGAGGCTGACCAGGTTCAGGTCCCGTAGCCTCTCCTCACAGGGCCTGCCCTGCTGCCCCCTGATCATGCAAGTGGCCCTCCTCTGAACCCTCTCCAGGGTCCCTCTTCAGACATTCTTCCACAGTGAGACAAAAGATGCCTCTCTGTTAAAGTAAGAGCATTAGCAATTTTGTTAAAATCCAGTCATTACAGCACGCAAGATAGGTATAAAATTTAGCTTTACCTGTCACTAGCTTAGACTTTTCTTTTTCACTGCATTTTTTCATAATCACCACTGATGCACTGGTCTTTTCCATACATTGGAACTGCATTTTGAATGCTGGTTTGTGTGTTCAGTGTTAAATGGAAAACTTAGGACTTTTGCAAAAGTTTAATATGGATAAAGTAGGAGTCCAAACTAGTGACAAGTAAAGCTAAATTTCATATCTTGAGTGCTGCAGTGACTGGATTTCAGCAAAATGACTGATGCTCTTACTGTAAAAAAGAGGCATTTTTATTAACTGGCTTTTAAATACTCTGTTACTGTTTCTAATTGTAATTTGGGTACAAAAATGGCTTCTTCATAAAGGAGATTGTAACTTCTTGTAACATCTTTTGGAAGGGTTGAAAGACCTTTGAGGAGGCATGAAGCAAAGAAACTAGGCTGGGATACTGTTTAGGGCAAGGGTGCTCAACCCCCAGCCCAGGAAGCCATGACATCCAACCCTCAGAGATTCCCACTGATCAGGAAATTTGGCAGTGGGGGACCTATTGAAGCTCCATGTGGGCAGATCCAGCCCCACCTGAGCCATTGCAGCAAAGCAGGATCAGGACAGAGTTGCTCCCTGTCACTGTTCTCCCCCACCACTCCCACCACCCATCTGGATCAGGGCCGGACTGGTCCCTACCCTTATAGGCCTGGATTGGGGCTGCTCCACTCTATCCCCACCCCTTGCATCTAGGCTGGGCTGCTCCCTGCCCCTCATGCACTCAGACTGGGGCTGTGCTGCCCCCATCGCCCCCAATGCTTCAGGATCAGAGCTAGGATGCTCCCCCTTCCCTGCCCCTGGATCAGGGCTGTGCCATCCCCCCACGCATTCAGACTGGGGCCGAGCCACCTCCTATCCCTGTGGGCAGCTGGGCTGGCATCAGGCTGCACTCCCCACCACGGCTGGACTAGGTCTCTGCTGTGCCGGTCCTATATGCTGGATTTAGCCCAATGGCCAGATCACGGATGGACCTGGCACTGCCCACCCTGGTTTAAAGGATTTCTGTTTTATGTTGATATTCTAGTTACCTTCTAAGTTGTTTTCTCTTGTTTACCCTCTGATTTTATAAGTTACTCTCATGTTGTAATCCACCCTGAGCCTTCATTGGAAAGGGTATCACAGAAATCAAATGAATAGCAACACCCACAAGAAACAAAGTTACAGCATTCTTGTGCTTGGTGCTGTACAAATATCTAGAATGTAAACTCTTCAGGGCAGAGACAATCTAAACCAGTGGACTGCAATTTACCGGTCAATTGTCCTAGTCCCCCCAGACTGAGATCCACTGTCAGGGGTTCTACAATCAGGAGCGGCAGAATACGTGACCAGGCCGGCTGGGTTAGTGGGATGATCCCCCTCCATGCCCCCTGCCACCAGGTGAGCGGGGCCCAGGCTGGGTAAGGGTTGGAACCTGGGCAGCTTGTCCAGGCATGCAGGGGGGCTCCCGCTGCTGCACACACCCTGGTGGAGGCCCTGGGGGACCCATGTCCCCTTATCTGTGTGCAGGGTGAGGCACTTGCTGCTGCGGGCTGGGCTTTGTGCCTGGAGCCCTGCTGCAGCTGGCCCGGGGGTGGCCTGACACCACATGCGTCCTCCTGCTGGGTGGGCAGGGGATGAGGTTCAGCCTAGCAGCAGGAGGCACATGGCATCGAGCTGCTCCCAGGCCGGCTGCAGCGGGGCAGGGCAAAGCCCAGTCCACAACTGCAGCCACCTCTGCTGTGCACAGACACAGACTGGGGGGGCACGTGCCTTCCCCAAATGCCAGGGAGCATGGGCAGCTGTAGCAGTGGTAAGAGGGAGTGTGGCTGGAGCAGGGGCAGACCCTGCACAGGTGGGGCACAGCCCTGGAGGGCACGGGGGGTGCATGCCCAGACATCTGCACGCCAGCTGGGCTGGGGGCCATTGCAGGCTGGGGCTGGGGCAGAGCTGGTCTCTTCCCAGGGGGCTCACCTGAGCTGTGCCGCAAGCTGGGGCCTGTTCGTGCCGTGGGCCCTGACTCTGCTGTACACTGGACAAAAGACACCACTGCTGAGCGCTGCCGCTGTTCCACCGCTGCTTTATTACTCTGAGCTGCTGGTCCTGAGCTGGGGGTGGCCTGTCAGCCATCTGGTGCCACAGATGGAGGCAGGACTAGAGCAGGGCAGCTGCACAGGAGTGCTGCCACCGCCCGGACTAAATTACCGCTCTCAGACAGCTGTCCTGCTCCAGTCCTGCCTCCACGCCTGGCGCCACGTAGCTGACACAGGCTGCCCCCAGCTTGGGATCAGCAGCTCAGAGCAATAAAGCAGTGGTAGTGCTTGGCAATGGTGTCTTTTGTCTGCTGTGCAGCGCAGCTGGGGCCTGCAGCACAAACAGGCCCCAGCTTGCAGAGTAGCTTGGGCAAGCCCCTAAGGAAGAGCCTGCCCTGGCCCCAGTCCAGTCCGCCCCGCCCCGCCCCACCCTGTGTGCAGATCCAGAGGCACATGCCCCTGTGCCCTCCCAAACTGCTTGTCCCCCACTCCCCAAGCGCCTTGGACCAACCACTTGCGGCTCCGTCCTGCGCCCCACCCATACAGGGTCAGCTCTTGCTCCAGCCATGCTCCCCCTCT